AAATTTCAAATCAATTTGCAAATCATTTCAAGCCAGCGCAGCAAAGAAAAAAAAACGACTCATCACAAAGTTTTACCCTTTGATTTTGATCTCATCCTTCCCCAAAAATTCAGTTTACCAAAGTTGAAAAACAGGACGTTTAGAATATTCGTGCCGATTCGTGCTGATTCGTATCGTAACTGAACTGAACTGAACAGAATAGAATATTCTTTAAAAATGAATTATTTCCCGTGCAACCAAACATTTCAAAGTCATTAGGGGAAACATACAAAAATAAGAAAAAAAGGGGAAATATTGCACAAAATATAAAAAATCTACACAAAAATTACGACATTTAGTAGGGCACTGTAACACGGCAACCTTTTCTTCTTTTATATATGTTAATTAAAAAAAATTAGTGTTTGAACTCAAATATGGCAAATGTACCAATTCAAACGATGTCCAATAATAGTATCATTTCGACTGGGAAAATTGAACTGAGAAATACATGGAGTGAAGACGGTCTTGATTTGTACGAAAAGAAAGATCTTGAAGAACCTGTTACTTACAGGGAAGAAACAACTCAATGGATCTTAAGTAAGGTTGAAAAGTGTCACATCATGCTTATTCGCGGTCCACGATACAGTGGTAAAACTTCATTGTGTGAGTTGTTGGCCAGACACTTAGAGAATACGAAGACCGAGAATGATCAGATTATCAGCATCAGTCACCTTTCCTTTAGTTCTAAGTTTGCTACTTATGAAAACTACTGGGAAGCGATGACTGGAAAAACGTATTTCGAGTGGCAAGAATCCTTTCCAGATAGTCGCATTTACATTATTATGGATGAAACTCAGGTCACGTACCATACAACATTTCAGTTCTTCTGGAACTGGGTGCGTGTTGAGCAAAAGAATAAAAATACTAACATACGACTCATTATGTTTGCTGTATATCCAATAATATTGAAAGATGATAAAATTATTATGGAATCTGGACCTGAGATAGCATCGCCAATTGGTCTGCATTACAAGTTTGGTGTGCGTCTTTTAATGTCTGGTCCTAATGAGCATATTGAACTTATGGATGATTTTGTTCGCAAATCTGGAAATGGTTTTGTATTGACTGAACAGGTCAAAGCAGCTATCATAGATCTGACAGCTGTTCGTACTGAGACTAAGGAGGAGGATCAGAGAAAAAGAAGCTGTCACTTAGGTTTGATCCGTCGCATTCTTCATTTTATTTATGAACGTCATAATCCAAGCTATGGTTACAATCCTCCAACAGAAAGTGAGATTTTGAAATACCTAAGTTCTTCCACGTTATTTGATCATGTCAGTTCTCATCGTGGTGCCATTCATCTTTTTGAGTTCAATGATAGACAAAAAGAAATAGTTCGAAAAGTTATTGAAAATGACTTCATTAATATCACTTCAAATAGTCAAGACTATTCTACTATTAGTTCATTGTGTAAAGCTGGTGTTTTACATTTTATTGATAAAGATTTAACACAAGATTTTGTTACATCTCAAGGGAGAGTTGGATTTTTAACCAACTATATTTTTATCATGTGTTTTACCAAGTTGAATCAAGGGACAAAAGATCCAATTGTCCCTCTCAATGTTGATCAATTTGAATATTTTTTGGAGACAACAATTAGTCGACTTGATCCAGATATTGTAGAAAACAGTCTTGGTATTCTTATTAGAAAAGACAAAAAAGGCTTGTTGGCAGAAAGATCATGGCAAATGGAATTTTATCGATCAGCATATTCATGTCTAACAGAAGATTATTATATCTCTCCAGATGTTGGTGCTACTTTTGGTACCCGAGGTCGGCTAGACTTTTATATAAATACAGAATTAAACTGGGCCGTTGAACTTGCAGCTGAAGGAAAAGATATTTCTGGTCATGTTCAGCGCTTCCAACAGGAAAACAAATATAAGAACATTCCTCATTCTAAAAAAATTGTATTGGATTTTCGCATTGGAACAAATATCAAAGTAGTAGTTCCTGGTGCTTGGCATATCCTTTACAATAAACCTTCTCGTGCTTTTGTTGTAAAGAAATCAGGTATGGATGATCAAATTATTCAGTTGTCAAAGAGTAAGGTTAGGTTTACAACTTCAGGTGTGAATGAAATAGAAGGACTTTTACAAGAGGCACAAATTATAAAGGCAAAGGTAGATGTTAAGAAGGCAGAGAATGAGATGAAGCGTCAAAATGTTGAAGAAAAAGATCTTGAACTGTCACAGAAACGTCAAAAAATTGAAGAAGAGAATCTTAAAATTGAAGAAAAGAATCTTAAAATCAATGAATTACAAATGAAGATAAAATATTGGGAAAACCAAGGTAATCTGGATAACATGGCCAAATATCGTAAACAGTTAGATTCTCTTATGGATGATTGATCTAATATATCAACATTATTTAGAATTCCAAATGTAGCCTTTTTGGTTGAAGTTATTTGTTTATTAAAAGACTCAATAAACTAATGCATTCCCAATAAAGAAACTGTAATTACAAAAGACAACATGTAAAACACTAACAATTTTAACATTTCTTTTTCATTTTTCATCTTTTCAATTCTTCACACCACTCTTTCTCTATTATTATTACTGCTGTTGCTTTTCCTTACCCTTTTCTTCATCATCAACATTGTGGAGGCAGCATTGTTGTCTGTTTCATATTTGGTTGTTATTCTATTGTTTACTAAGTAAGGCTCTGCATGAGCCAGTTCATGAGTAGCTTTATTACTAAGTGACCTTGGATTTTTTTATATCTTTTAAAAAAAATTAATTTCATGTCAGTATCTGCTTTAAGATAGGTAATCAATGTACTATCTTTTCCTAGGGGTTGGCACTGTTAACCATTTAACTGGTTAAGATATTTTTTTAACCAGTTAATTCTTTTTGATTAACCAGTTTAACCACCATTTATTAATTTTTTTATATATATTACAGTCAAACCTCATCACAGCGGACCTCACCACAACACATTTCTTGTTACAATGGATTTAAGTATTGTCCCCTTATTAATATTAATTAAAACATTTGTCATAATAATAACGGATTCTACTACTAATAAATTTGTTCCATGGATTTTTGATGAGGTCTTTCTAATATGTCTACAGCAGATTCACGTGACATATAAATGTCCAAATTACCAAAATTGATAGAGGAAAACTGCAATTCTCCCTTTGGAAAATGAAATTGAAAATCCAAGAAATATAGTCGAAGAGATTTCGAAATAATGTTAATAATATAATAGTTGTTGATGTCTAAAGTTTCAACGAAAGATGCCGTAATTTCCTTTGAGATAGTTTTTAATTTTCTTCAACAAGGTGATTTAGAAATAGATCGTAAAGAATTTAAAGCATTTAAACCATTGAAAAAAGTGAAATTATTAGATAATACAACCAAATATTACATCTTATCTCAACAAATAGTTTTCATTTCCGTATGTATTATTCATTTATTCATTTATTTATTCTGTATTTAGTTTATTAATTTATTGCACTATACCAAACCTCTCTATAACGAATTTCCCTTTTGCCGCCCGTCTTCGATTCAATTTTTTATAATTAATTTTTCCCTATAATGAACAAAAGCAGAAAAATACATATAATGGACAGAGGGTTCGGTATAGAGAGAGAGCCTTGTATTATTAAAAAAATTTTGCCCGATCATCACCAATTTTGCCGCTGCGGACTTCTTGTCATAATAATAATAATAATAATAACAAGTCGAATTTTTATTTCACTCTTCCAATTCTAACACTGTATAAAGCAATTCTTTCATACTGCTTTTAATCTTAATTTCTAA